TGGCTACTTTAATGTCCTTGTCTACTAAGTCTGTCATCTGTGTCAAACTTGGGTAAGTTTCAATAGATTGATTTTTCTCCTCATATTGAGTCATATACTTCTGCCTCTTTGTAAATCAGTACATTTTTACTTGATGCCAGACATTATGTATTTAACATATCAGGTGCAGAGCATTTTCTATTTCTATAAGTATTCTTGAGTTTTGTTCTGGAAATCATTATGGTACTTACAGAAAGTTTTGTGTTTTCAGGTATTGTTTTTAAACCTTGTCAGGTGGTACCAGTGATTTAATTCATGAATGATTTTGCCTCAGTCTGAGGCAAAACCCACTTACAATTTATGAGATTCTCCACCCTAATTGGCGGAATCAGGAACTGTGTCTCTGATCTCTTCAGGTAGGTCTTTCCTTCAGCCTTGGGCAATTTCCCTTTATATACCACATATGTAAGGATCAGTATTCTTTGAAAATTCTCCAGCTCCTTAACAACAGACTCTCTGTCTCTTTCACTTCGGTCTTCTTTCCTGAAGACTCTGTATGGTTGCACCGGCCTTCTTATGTTCCCAGTTCCATTTCTGCACCTCAGAGAGAGATCCTCAGTGCCCTTCTGGGTCTCTCTCCCCTTGTACCACAGACTGGAAACTCTTTCCGACTAATAAACTAGGAAATTGTAAAACTCCTCTTGTATTTCCCGTGTCTCTCAGGAACAACTGTAATTTTTTATCTGATGTCCAATGTCCTGAAATCCTTTCTTTTCATATATGCTTTCTATTTTCTTTAGTTATTTCCATGTTGGCCAAAAGCCAAAGCCCTCATTGATACCTTATATACTCTCTTTTTTAATCCTTTTGGGCTAATATGATTTTGTTCAGGTTTTTACTCTCAAAATGGCTTTTCATTTTTACAGTACCTATCATTTCTCAACCTAGGACCCAAGCATTCCTTGGGAAACAAAAATTGGGTAATGTTCAATTTTCAAAACCTTTCAGTGCTGCGCTCTTTAGAAACATGAACCCTACACTCAGTCTTTAGGCATGCAAGCCCCTCCATGTTCTCCTTCCTTTCTGCTTTTCCAGCTTCCTTTCCTGCCTTTTCTTTCATTTATGTTTTGCTCCAGGTGTACTAAACCACACATTTTCCTCATTAAAGAGAATACTTCTGAGGATTTGGTCGTTTTGTTTCTTATGCCTGAAACAATTAGCCACCCCAATTCATTTTTCCTTTTGAACTCTTATTTATGCTTCAAGACACAGATCATTATTTCCCTCTTTCTTTAAGTCTTTCCAAACTCATCAAAAAAGAGTTTATCATGCTTTCCTTTGTGTAGCCACCAAACTACTACTGCATGCATCTCAGTAGGTTGTACTTTCTGTTTGTCACTGTAGAGACACAGGCGATGCCTTTTTTCATTTTGGTTCTGCAGCAACCCTTTGGTATGTACAGGACAGTACAAACCGTCATTACTTCTGCTCACCAGATATTCCAGCTCTCCACCCTTCAGCCATGTAAGTTTATATCTGTTAGGCCTCTTTTGTGTGGGTAGAATGGTGTTTCTACTTATGGTCAGCAAGTTGTGAACAAAAAGACCTATATCATATTTTGGATGGATCATATGTGAAAAGAGACTCTTCAGAACACCGTTATCATTTCCACAGCTAACAGTGCTCTGGTGGCTGGCCCTTCAGCTTGGGTTGAGAGTGAGAAAAACATGAATCAGAGATGGCAATTCACTTGAGACAGATATGTAGCATAGCATGAGCAAAAAATCACTTTGATGTTTTAAGCTACTAAAAGATTGCAGGTACTTTTTATGAAGCATCATCTAGCTTATCCTGACTAATATTAACTTAAATTCTTAATAAGTGTTAATTGAATGTACAGGACAACTAAATGAACAGACATATCTTATAGTTTCACAAATATTATATTAAATATTTGAAAAATATGATTCTGTAAAATGGCTATACTTTATGGTCAAACTGTTTTCTAGTTCACATGACTCTAGCTCATGTATGAATTGATGGGCTCTAGGACACAGGCTTCCAAGTGGTGGATCCAAACAGGAACCATAAGACTGCTATGAAATTTAAGTCTCTTTGATTATACAGAAAAGAACTAATTGATCTTACGATTAAAGAGATTCTATTCAGATAACAATATTAGAGGTACCTACAGATTGATGAAATTTCTCTGGTTTGCTAATCTATTAATTATTTTCTGCAAGCTGAACACTGACTGAAGGTCATGGCATAAGTTAGGGCACATAGATCTCTTGTGCCTATGATGGGAAAATCACACAGTTCTTTTCACCATTGTCTTTGACTTATGTTCTTTGCAGTTTACAAAGACATTTCACAATCATCATATATTTTATTTATTTTGCGTTCAGTGGAGGAAATACATACATTTTTTGTGTCTATTTTACAATGAGTAAATAGAAGCAAGGAGAAATTAATTACTTTGTCTAAGATCATGCCATACATAAGATCCAGGGACTAAAGTGGGTCTGAAGTCCAAATACTTGTTACTTTGTAGAAATAGTTTTCAAATATTTTATTTTAAGGTGCAGCTTACGGAAATTAATCTTCACATTAACTATAATGATAAAAAGTCCAGCAAATTGGTCTATTTTTACCTTAAGAAATTCTATGTATCAAAATATACCATTAAGAGGGGGAAAAAAAGAAATCCAAAGGGTAGAAGAACATATTTGCAATATGTAAATCCAACAAAAGATAAAGAGCCTCCACAAACCTATTTGAAAAGGACATCGAAACTAGCAAAAGATGGGCAGAGGACCTGAACAGACACATCACAAAAAAAGGGCATCCAAATGGCCAGTAACATATAAAAGGTACTTTAGTAACTTTATCATCAGAGAAATACAAATTAGAACAACATATACCTATTCCACTACATTTCAGGATGGGTGAAGTTTATATAATTAAGTGTTGAGAGGCATGTGGAGAAACCAGACTCTCATACACTGCTTGCAGGTGAGCAAATCGGTAATGCCTCTTTGAAAAGTGTTTAACTCTATGTACCAAAGTTAAATATATGCATATCCCATGATCCAGAAATTCCACTCTGTGGTATACACTTAACAGAAATATGTATATGTTCAAAACAGAACTATTTATAATAACCCAAAGTGATAATTCCTCAAATATCTATCAATATAATGGGAAAATAAATTGTAGTCTACGCAAGTAATGGAATACTGCACAGCCATGACGGTAATCTACAACTACATGTAATAGTACAGATGTCTCATTAACACAATTTGAGTGGGAAAGAAATAGACACAAAAAAGTACATGCTGTATGATTTCATTTATGTTAAGTTTAAAACAACAAAACAGATCTATTGTGTTTAAAAGTCAGGATAGTGGTTAACCTTGGGGGATTAGTGACTAGAACAAGGTGGGTCTTATGGTGGGATGGTAAAGTTCTGCTTCATGATTTTGATGGCTTTTACACAATTATGTAAAGGCTGTGAAAACAAATTGAGAATATTAACTCATTTTAGAAGTGTATGTTTATGTGTATTACACTTTTAAAAAAGCTTAAAAAACTGAACTTAATGATCAAAAGATATCTTGTTTTCTGGTATTCCATGTTCACTTTATATTTCCATTTTTAAGAAGATTGCTAACAAAAAGGAAAGCAAATAACTTAGAATCTGACATTTCAAGGAGCCACATTCAAGAATAAAGAAAATCCAATACAGTGATACATGACATCAAAATGTGGCAAGAATGTAGGCCTGAAATGTGAGAATACCGAGGCTTTGTTCATAATTCTAATGTAAAGTATGTTTGGACAATACATTTATTTAATAGCCAGTTGATATTGTAATGGTCTGCTAGGTGAAAGCATGACACCAATTATACAAATTAAATTCTTATTATTACAGTCCAGTTCTCTCAGCATATTATAAAGAGGTCTCAGAATACAGAAACCTAGGGCTGACAAGTGCAGCTTTACTGGGGAAATTAAAAACTGTATTCTGACAAATGACTTAAGAATATTATTTGCTTGTAAAGGTTTGATTATTCTTGTGCTCCTAGTACTAAGCTAATGAAAAAATGTTCTTTTGTATTATTGCTCCTTGGAAAGCAATTATTCTTTAATGCCTGCTGTGTACCAGCATTCAGTATGTATTTGTCTAGCACACAACAGCGACCGCCCGCGGACTCCTCTCGCCGGCTCCAGGGGCCTCCCTCGCCAGGGACCGGGTGCCCTCTTCCTCACGCAGGCCGGTGCTCCTCGCAGCGGCAGCTCACGGTAAGCGGCCACCCCCAGGGGGGCGGGCGGCGTCGGGTACGGGAACGATCGGGCGGGGAAGGTGTCCGCTGCGAGAGGCCGCAGGCTGGGGGGGCGCCTCGCTGCGGGGTCTGCGGCCGGGGGCGCAGTCCAGCCCGCCGTCTGCAGGTGCTCCCCGAGAGGCGGCAGCGGGCGGCAGAGAGCGGGGTTTGCAGTGGGCCGCAGAGTGGACGGGCTGCCTCCACGGAGGGCCGTGGAGTCAGCAGCTGTGGGAGGCGCGGGTGTCTGTGCGCGGGGCGGACCTCCGAGGCTACCATCGGCAGGTGGCGCAGCCAGAGGCGGGGGCGAGGCAGCGGGGAGCGGGGTCTGCAGCGGGCCGCAGCGTGCACGGGCTGCGCTCCATCGTGGGCCGTGGCGTCTGCAGCTGCGGGAGGCGCGGGTGTCTGCGCGGAGCGAATCTCTGAGGTTGGCGGCGGCTGGCGGTGTCTCTTTGGTGTCGGTTGTCGGGTGCAGGGGCAGCAACGTTGTAAGGGGACTGAGTCCGCCCGCAACCGACGCCCAGCCCCCGCCAGCCAAAGCCAAGGGCCTCCGACGCCACTTCCTTCCACGGAAGAGCAGCTACCATCCCCGGAGCCAGCCTCCCGCCTGGCCCCGACAGCCGGTGCGCTGACACCCCCGGCCCGGACGCCTGCCGCCACCACCGCCCTCCAATGCCTTCTTCCCGCTGACGCTGACCATCGCTACCTTTGCCTTGGCTGACTGACGCCCAGCGCTCTCCGCTGCCAGACGCCCTTAGACCCCTGCCGACGCCAACAGAGGCCCTCTTGCCAGGGACCCTGCTCCCTCGTTCTCATGCAGGCCTCGCCACCTTGCAGCAGCCTCAGCTCATAGTAAGTAGCCGCCGCCACGTTGGCTTTTTGATCAGGGAGTTTGGGAGTGTTGTATGGGCCCTGGGAGGAAAGTGGAAAGCTGTGCGTGGGCGTTTGAAAGCCACGGGCAGCCCACGCCCCACCCAGCCAGGAAGGTGACCAGGTCTTATCCGGGAGCTTCCCAGGCCCTCCAGCTTCTCTGACTGAAGGTAATGGTTCTGGTGTCTGGTCCATGGGTACGCGGGCATGGGCGCTGCGAAGGTGCATCCGCAGGGGCTGGGAGCCTTCTGTGCTCCCAAACGTGTCAGCTCGCAGTTTAGGGGTTGTGTCAAGGTCCCTGCGGCTGCGTGGCGGCAGCCTGGCCCCCTGGTGAGTGCATCGCGTGGTGTTGGCTCCCCTCTATGTGTCTGTGTGTGTCGTAACTCTTGCACGTGTGGTGGTGTGTGTGTGTGTTAGAGCACTTGTGCGGCCTGGGACAGTGTGTGTCTCTGGGTGCCTGTGCACCAGGAGAACTCAAGGAAGGCAGCTGGCTCGCCACAACCGCTTAGCAGAGAGGTCAGGTGGGGAGACTTTGGGGCAGGTTGCTGGGGAGATTGCTCTCAGCAGGGAGGCCCCTGGAGCGTGAATAGTCACAGGTGAGAGCATCGTTCCCACCCTCTTCCACGAGGCAGGTTGTCTGCAAATAAGGGCTTCCCCTGTGACCCTGCCTCCGAGAAGAAGCTGCTAGTGGACTGTCCCTTCTTAGTGGAGAACCCCAGTGGGTCAGGTTCACCCTCTTAATTTTTGTTTTCTCTACAAGGTCTCCACAGGGAACAACTTCATCTCTCTGAACTCAACTCATGAAAGTTCTACTTGACCCATTTCTGCAAACATCTGCTGCTCTACTACCTCCAGGGTCACATGGGGCAGGTAGGTAACTCCTTTTAGCGTCCTCAGCAAGCCACCATTCAGTGTCCTTCCCAGTGTTCATCCCATAGCATTACAGAGAGCACAGCTGTTCTCTGACAAACCTCCATCCTGCTTTCCATGGTGGCTGCACCAACTTGCAATTTCCTCCCAGAGCTACAGGTAGTTTTAACAAAACTACTAATTTTTATTTTAACGTTAATATCAACCATTTTAATTCTTGCATTCCATAAGCATGAGATGCTTTCCATTAACTTGCGTCACCTTCAGTTTCTTGCCTCAGTATCTTAGCATCTTCAGAGTACAGCTCTTTCACCTCCTTGGTTAAACATCCTCCAGATCTCTTACTGCTTTGCTACAACTGCAAGTGGGATTGTTTTCTTACATTCTCTTTCTGAAAATTTGTTTTTTTATATGTTTCTGTATATTCATTTTGTATCCTGCAGTTTTACTGAATTCATTGCTTAGTTTTAATCTTTTTTGTTGGATTTGTTAGTGTTTTCTAGATAGAGTGTCATGCCATCTGCAAATAATGGCAATTTTACTTCCTCCTTACCAGTTTGGGAACTTTTTTTCTTTTTCTTGTCTGACTTCTTTTTCTTTCTGATTGCTGTGGCTGGGACTTGAGGTACTCTGTTGAAGAAGTGTTGAGAGTGGACATCCTTGTCTTGTTCCTGATCCTATAGGAAACATTTTCTGCTTTTCACCATTATGATTTTGGCTGTGGGTTAGTCCTATATTTCCTTAAAATATTGAGTCATGTTCCCTCTCAACCCACTTTGTTTTAAGAGATATTTATCATGAGTTGATGTTGAATTTTGCCAAATGCTTTTTTCTGCATGTTTCAAGATGATCATAGAGTTTTCACCCTTCCTTTTTAATGCGGTGTATCTCATTGAGTAATTTGTTGATAACTGATCCATCGTTGCTTCCTTGGAAAATATCCCACTTGGTTGTGGTCAGTGATCCTTTCAGTGCATTTTTGAATTCCATCTGCTCATGTTTTGTTGAATATTGTTGCATCTATGTTCATCAGGGCCATTGGGCTGTAATTTTCTATTTTTCTAGTGTTTTCTTTTTTCTTGGTTTTGATGTCAGTGTAATGCTGGCCTTGTAGAATGAATTTGGAAATGCTTTATTCCTCACAGTTTTGAGTATATATATCAGCCCTTTCTGTACATGGTTCACAGAATTGAGCTGTGAAGTCCCTTGATGGTGGGCTTTTTTCTTTGTTGTTTTCTTTTATTATTCCCAATTCATTTTTGTTATGAATAATCAATCTCTTCAGATTTTCTATTTTATCCTACTTCAGGCTTGGGAAAGTGTTGGTTTCTAGGAACCTATCCATTTCTTCTAGGTTGCCCAATTTATTGACATGTAATTTTTTGTAGTAATAACTTGTAATCCTTTGTACTTACATAGTTTATATTTTAATGTCGTCTCTTTCAGCACTGATTGTGTTTGAGTGTTCTATCTTTTTCTAATGAGTCTCACTGGAAGTTTATAATTTTTGTCTCTCTGGAGAAACTTTTTTTTATATTTTTGTAATACTATACATCATTTAATCCTCTTGCCTTTATTGTTTTCTTCCTTCTCACTTGGTGCTTTGTTCATCTTTTTCTAATGCCTTTAGAGGTAATTTTAGACTGCCTATTTGAAATTTTTCTTGTTTCAGGAGGTAGTCCTGTATTGCTAGAAATGTCTCTCTCAGAAGGGCTTTTGCTGTGTCCTAAAGATTTTCATCTGTTCTTTTTCTATCTTTATTCAGTTTTCAGGTATTTTTGGTTTTCCTCTTAGATGTACCTGTTGCAGCATTGGTTGTTTAGCATCATGCTGTTTCGCCTTCATGTATTTGTGTTTTTTTCCAGTTTTTTCCTGTAACTGATTACTAGCTTACCTTCCAATGTGGTTGGAAAAGATGCTTCATAGGATTTGACTCTTAAGTTTACTGAGATTTGGTTTCTGCCTGATGTGTGATATCTCTCAGAAAGTGCACATTTAAAAATATGTATTGTTTGTTTTGGGATGGATTCTTGTATATGTGTTGGTTAAGTCCATCTGGTCTGATAACTTGTTCAAAGCTCCTGTTTTATTTTCAATTTTCTGTATAGATGGTCAATTCTTTGATGTCCATCTGTAGGGTGTTATAAATTCCCTGCTCTTATTGCATTACACTGTTTTTCTCCCTTTATGTTTGTTCATATTTGTTTTATATGTTTAGGCACTCCTCTGTGGGGTGCATATATATTTATAGTTTCTATGTCTTCTTGCTACATTGATGGCTGTATTGTTATGTAATGCCTTCTCTGTTATATGTCCTTTGTCTTAAAGTCTTTCCATGTCTGATAGTAGTATTGCTTCCCATCTTTTTCTTTTTTTTTTTTTTTTTTTAGTTTCACTTGCATAGGGTATCTTTTCCCATTCCTTCACTTTTAGTCTGTTTGTGTCCTGAAATGAAGTGAATCTCTGTCTGGGAGCATACAGATGGCCTTGTTTTTTCATCCAATCAGTCACCCTGTGTCTTTTAATTGGAGCATTTAGATTCTTATATTTATAGTGATTATTGATAGCTCCATCCTTATTTTCACTTTGTGAATTGTTTAATTTTTTTGTAGTCTTTTTCTGTTCATTACTCTCTTGGTGATGAGTATAGTTTTTTTAGTATTGTGCTTGGATTCTTTTCTCTGTATCAGTTCTACGTTTTTAGCTTGTGGATACCTTGAGGTTCACCTATAATATCTTAAGTGTACAGCAGCCTATGAAATTAATTTCAGATGCATTCTGATGGTATTAAGTTTTTACTCCCCATTCTCCATGCTTCATGCATATGATAGCATGTATTCATGATGATTCCCTTAACAAATTTTTTAAATAAATTGAATCCAGCACCGTATGTTAAAAACACTATCCTTTAAATAGCCTGAATAGCCTCTGTTGAGATTCACTTGCCCATATATGAATGGGGATCTATTTTTGGAATTTCTACCCTATTCCATTGATCTTGTTTATTTTGACACCAAATCCACACTGTCTTAATTACTGTAACTTTATGAAGAGCCTTGAGGATTCTCCTTTTGTTCTTCTTTTTCAAAGTTCTTCCAGATATTTGAGGTGCCATACATTTTCATATGATTTTTAGCAACAGCTTATCAATTTTTACAAAAGGTATACTGGGATTTTAATTGAATCCATAGGTGAATCCATAGATTGATTTGGGGAGAATTGAGATCTTAACAATATTGGGTCTTCTGATCCTTCAGCACAGTATGCCTGTCCATTTGTTTGGCTCTTTTTGATTTTTCTCAGTGATGTTTTGTACTTTTTGTAATGTACAGGTCTTACATATATTCTTTTGGACTTGCCCTTAACTTTTTCATAGTTTTTATACTACCATGGTATTTTTAAATTTATATTTCCACTTGTTGCTAATATATAGAAACCAACTCTTTACTCTGTGGGCAATTGTGAGGTGTGCTATTTAGTTTTGAAATACTTGAGGATTTTCTGGATACTTTTTAAATATTAGCTCCTATTTTTAATCCCCTGTAGTCAGAGAATATATGTTGTGTGACTTGACTCCTTGGATCCTATAAATTTATTGAGACTTGTTTTATGGCTCAAATATACCATATTGATAAATGTTCTAATGTACTTGGAAAGAATGTCAATTCTGTTGTTGTTAGGAAAACATTCTATAAATGTCACTCAGTTCAAACTGGTTGGTAGTACTGTTCAGTTCTTCTGTATCCTTACTGATTTTCAGTTACACATGTACTATGATTGTTGGGAGAGAGGCATTGAAATTTCCAATTATAATTATGAAATGCACATTACAGTTCTATCAGTTTCTGCTTTGTATATTTTGAAGTTCTATTATTAGGCGTATATGTGTTTAGGATTGTTAGGTCTTTTTGACCAATTGACCCCTTTATCATTCTGAAATGGCCATTTTTCCTCCTAGTAATATTCTTGGCTACACGAAATCTTTGTCAGATATCACTATAGTCACTCTAGCTTTATTTTGATAAGCTAATCCTTTTACCTTTAACTTATCTGTATCTTCTTATTTAAAGTGGATTTTTTTGTAGGCAGTATATATTTGGGTCTTTGGACATAATTTGACAGTCTCTGTCTTTTAATTATGATGTTCAGACCATTAATATTTAATTAATATTAATACATGAGTTTGAATCTACCATGTTGCTATTTATTTTCTATTTGTCTCATCTGTTTTTTTATTCCCTTTCTCATTTTCTTCTTACTTTTGGATTAATAGAACAGACAAAAATTTTCCATTTTATCTCCTTAGTTGGCTTTTTAGCCACACCTACTTGTGTTATTGAGGTTGTTATTTTAGGGTTTAGGGTATACATCTTTAGTTTATTATACTTTTCCTTTAAGTGACATATCACTTCATATACAGTATTAAAACCTTAAAAGAGTATCCTTCCATTTCACCTCTACTGGCCTTTGTGCTGTTTTTGTTACACAGTTTATTTCTGCATATGTTATAAACCTCACCATACAGTATTTTTGCTTTAAACACTTCTTCTTAGCAGCATACCTCCAACAAGCTTCTCCTTTCTGTTTTCTTGTTAGAAATTTGTCTAAAATAAGAACAAGTAGGATCTGAGATCATGAGGTTTCATAACCTTTCCTGTGTAGTCTTTGTTGCACCAATTTAACTGCTCAGAAGCTTTTTCCACCTAGCTTCCTGGTTGTTATTTGTGGATTTGTTGGATAAGCAACCTTCAAATATAAGTGAATTGTCACTGGATAAAGAAAATAGATAAAAACTCAGAAAGTGATTAGAAAGAGAACTTGGGATAATTCAGTAAAGAGAAACAGATCAAATCTAGTTTGACTACAGCTGTTACCAGTCAGAATAAAGTCATTCGTGGAAAGGGTGGTGGGAGGTGGGGGCTATGCTCTGTATTTGTTTCTTTATTATAGGACTAAAGGGTTGGCCAAAGTTGTCTTCTTTTCCCTTTTATGAACTGGTCTAAAATGTTCTCCTTTCACTTCATGAAGCATCTCCCCATTTCCAAAGCCAGATTTGATGATGGAGGCATTTTATATTTTCTTTAGCCAGCAGTATTAGATGTAGAAAAACCTCACCAACTTAGAATAAAGAAACTTCCCCCGGAAATAATGAACAGTATGGATTCTGGGATAGTGTAATGTGTTTCAGTACATTCAAATACTTTGAGTAAAGTCGATGATGGAACGAACAATAGGAAGAGAAGAGTGGGCTCCATATAATGAGAATTGTAAAAACTGGTTAATGGGCACACGAGGAACAAAGTCCTTGCTTATACACCAGCGTAGCTTTCAAGTCCTTCATTTTTAAATACTTGATCTCTGCTTCCTAATCAAGGGTACAATACAATTGTCCATTTCTCAAATCCCTCCTTCTCCCAGCACCTAGTTTGGTATTTCTTCGCGTTCTCTATTAAGATTATTGTTCTAAATTAAGAGTTCTAAAATGCCTCAAACTTAGCGTTCCATTAAGGGAAGCTTGCTGATGAGAGCCGTTCAGTACCCACTTCGGCTTCCCAGTCATTTAAGACCATTTCCTAAATCAAAGCTTGCGATGCGTGGCGAGCTTGGCAGGTGTCCTCGGGTTCTCTAACCACAGCCCCAGGCTGTCCTGGCGGCCGGGCGGCTGCGCAGAGGCTGGGCGCGGGGCGGGGCTGCTGTTACAGGCGGGTTCGTGGGAGCTCGGCGGGGCGGCGGCCGGAGGACGCGCGGGGGGCGCGGCTGGGGTAGACGAGCGCGCGCGCACACTCGCGCCGGCCGCCCGCCACCGGGCGGGAGAGGGTTTCCCCGAGACGCCGACTCGGGGCAGGGACCGCCACGTTCCCACGGGCGACCTGGGTGACAGAAGCAAGCGGAGCCAGGAGGGCGCTGCGCCCACCGTCCGCCCCGCACGGGTGAGGTGGCGGCCCTGCCCACGCCCCGCGGGGGACGCTGCCCCAGCCTCGCACCCGCGCCTCTGGCCGTGGTCGCGGCCGCCCCCAGACGCGCCGGGTTCTCGGCGGAGACGACGGCCGTGCTCCCGCCGCCCGCCTGTGGGCGGCGGAGCATCCTCGCCTCTCCGCTTCTTCCCTCCAGGCCCGAGCCCTGCAGCCGCGCGGGGATGAGCCCCGAGCCGGTCCCGGCGGCGGCTGCGGGGAGCCGTCCGCCCGGCGGCTGGAGAAGGGCGAAGAGGCCTTCCGCGTAGGCGACTACGAGATGGCAGCCGAGCTGTTGCTGGCCGGGCTGGCGCAGCCCGACCGCGGCCGGTGCTCGCGCAGGCCGCCTCCCCGAAGCCCTGGGTGCTTTTCGCGGCACTGCACTGCTCGGGGCGCTGCGGCCTGAGGAGCTGGGGGAGCTTGCGGGCGGCCTGGCGCGCCCCCTGGGCCAGCGCGAGGGGCGGCTGCAGCCTGCGAAGCCGGGCGAGGGCCAGTCGGCCGCGGCGCCGCGTCACCTGCTCGGTTGCCCGCGCTGCCAGCGGCTGCTGCACAAGTCGGTGATCCTGTCGTGCGGGCTCACGGTGCGCAAGCGCTGCGTGGACTTGGGGCCCGCGCGGCCGTTGGCGCGGGGAGTCAACGTGGTGCTGAGCGGCCTGCTGGAGAAGTGCTGCCGGCCGAGGGCCGGGTGCGCAGGCTGGCGGGCCAGGCGCGGAGTCTGCAGCGTCAGCAGCAGCCCAAGGCCGCGCTGCTCAGGTGCGGCCAAGCCCTGGACCTGGGTAAGTCGGCCGTGGGAGCTGCCGCCGTCCCGCACGCCAGGCGAGCGCAGGGGTGGGAGTAGAGGCTTTGTTCGGGCTTGGGGGTTGTTTTACTTTACGAAGGCGGAAAGGTGAAGATGCAGCCAGAGTGGCTGGTGTCAAGGTCAGTTGCACTCCCTGGGTGTTTTTTTCCCGGGAACCCCCACAGCCCTCCAAGGCCAAGATGGCCTTTCCACCCCATCTCTGCTGTTCGGGAGTGGGAGGTTGACAGTGTGTTTGCTTGTCCTGCAGGAAAATGCCAACAACTAACACCGTAGAGGCGCACAACGGAGGCCTTGGGACATGGCAGGATGTGCTTTGAAGGAATTCAGGAAAGATTCCCTTCCACTGCTTTTATTACTTCATACTGTCAGGCTCCGTTTCCTCTCAAAAAAAAAAAAAAAAAGGTGCTATGGTGTAATTAGCTTATTAGTTATGCTAACCAGTGCTGTGACCTTTTAATTTTTAAATTTTTTGTAAATGGAAGTCTATAAGGAACTCCCTCCTTGCGTCCTCCCCAACCTCCACCACCTGTTAAGAATACATAATTTAAAGGAAGACCAAACTTTCAGCCAATGATTTCGGCTCCCAAAGAGTGTGCTTTATTGACAATTGTTTTGGGGAGAGAAGTGTGTGTGTGTGGAGGGTGATTTGTTTTCTGAATTCACTGGCTTTGTCACGGTGTATAGATGATTTAAATCACTAGTAAAGACGACTTGGCTTAATCTTTCGTTATTAAGAGTCTTCTTGTGTGCTATAGTCAGAATGTATTTTATTTTAAATTTAGGGGTAAGGTTTTCTCTTTTAGAAGGCATACCTGTATCTAAGTTGGGAGATTTCTCTGCTGGAGTAAGCAGTTAAATTGCTTTATATAACAGGTACTCTGTACTATTTTTACAACCAACATATTCACACTTTAACAGGCTGTGTGTTTTTGAGTTTCCTACTATTTTGTTTATGACAGTGTGGTGTGGAGCCTCCTTGTCCAGAAGAAATATTGTGTAAGCCACACATATAATTTAAAATTTTTTCTGGTAGCTAAATGTAAGTGGTTGGAAGGAAGCAGGTGAAATTAATCTTAATGATTTTTAACCTTACACATTCAAGGTGTTATTATTTCAGCATACCTTCATTTAAAAAGAAAGACTGAGATTTCACTGCCTTTAAAGAAAAAAACTATCTTTGAAATCCATTGTGTATTTTACATTTACTGTCTACCTCAATTTGGACACTGAATTTTCATCAGAAACACTTATGCTACACTTAGATTCCATGAAATGTAGAGTTGAAAAAATAAACTCACTTTGTGAAGTTGTTTCAAATTAGGTTTTCCACTGACTGAACAGAGTCTCTGTTTTTTAAACTTTGGTTTCAAATAATTAAAATTACATAGGATGAATAACTTAGTTCCTTGTTGTTCTAGCCCCTTCTCAAGTGCCCTGTAGCCACATGTGGCTAGTGGCTACTGTGTCAGACAGTACAAGTATGGAACTTTTCAAAACTTTGCTGGAAATGTAAAAGATCACAGTACCAGCTGTTGGAGATGTATAACACGAGAACTACCGTATGCTGCTGATGGGTCTGCAAATTATACCCCTGGAAAATTGTTTGGTAGTATCTGAAAATGTTAAATATGACCTTTGGCCAAGTACTTTCAATGAGGCACGTGCATATGTGCACTGAAGGCATGTATAAGAATATACAAGCGTGTGTATCATTATTAGAGATAGCCCCAAAGTAGAAAGAACCCAAATGCCCAATAATAGCTGAATGAATGGGTAAGTATATTATGATGCCTTTTGGAATACAGACAGAAAATAAACCACCTGGTTGCACACTGTATTGTGGATGAATTGCAGACATAATGTTAAGAGAAAGAAGCCAGACTCAAAAGCATTTTTACTGTATGATTCTATTTATCTGTAAGTCCAAACAGGCAAAATTACTACGGCCTGTTAGAAGTAAGGGCAGTGGTTACCTTTGGGGGAGAAAACAGAGAATGTGAATTGTGAGGAAGTAGGAGGAGGACCTGAGTGGCAGTAGTGATGTTATGTTTATTGACCTAGAAGATGGCTTCATAGGTATGTTCACTTTGTGATAGTTCATTGAACACTAAATTTATAATTTGTGGCTTTTCTGTGTGTATATTAGACCTCAGTTTAAAAGTCGTAAACAAATTTTTGCAGTCAGCTCATCTTGAGAACTTACATTCAGTATGCTCAGTATTCATTTTCCTTTCAAAGATTAGAAAAGAAAGGCAAAGTTCTCTAGTTTAAAATTTATGGAATGTTTTTCATACTAAATTAGCCCCCAAAAAGGGCTTGATATAGTAAAAAAGGTTACAGGTTTTTGTTGGTTTTTTTTTTTGACTTCAGAAATACTTGTGTTTAGATCTGAGCCCTGATATGTACTTATTATGTGACCTTAGTCAAGTGTGGTAATCATTAATGCAATTCCCCAAGTATTTCTATCTTATACCTTCCCCAAACAAGGTAGGATTGCATTCTTGGACTCATTATGGTTGGGTGGAGCCTTGTGACTAATTTTGGTCTGTAAGTTGTGAGTAGGATTCAAAATAACTAATAAACATGTTAAAGAAAACAGAAATATGTGTATGAAAAATAAAGAATTCAATAGATAGCCATCTGTAAAAAAGAACCAAATGGGTATTTTAGAACTCTCAACATCTGAAGTTGAGAACTAATTAGATGGATTAAAACTGAGTAGACACATATGTGAGATACAGACAAAAGTTCTAAAATCTGTGAAATTTGAATCTCAGAAGAGGGGAGAGGGAAAAAAGCAAGAGAAATATTTGAAGAAAAATGGTTGAGAATTTTCCAAATTTGACAAGAAACTTTAAGCAGTTCAGTTAAGCCCAAAGGGATAAATACAAACACTCACAGGATAAACACACTAGCAGGATAAACAAAACATACCGAAGCATGTTATAGTCAAGTTTCTGAAAATAAAGAGAAATATAAAAGCAGTTAGAGAACACAGGACATTTTCCTTCAAAGGAGCTATAATAAGACTGAAAGCTGATTTTTTTAAAAAAAACATTAAAACTAGAAGATAATGGAATAACATCTTCAAAGTGCTGAAAGGTGGTAGGTAGGAAGAGCTTACCTGGAATTCTTTACCCAGTTGCAAATATCTTTAAGAATTGAAGACAAAAATATAGATGTTTTATCCAAATAAATAAATAAAGGCAAAGGACTTTTATTGCCATCAGAATTGTACTACATGAAATACAGGGGAATTCTTTAGGCTAGAGGAAAATGTCCAGATGGAGGCATACCACTAAAGGAAGGAATGAAGACCCATAAAAAGGGTAAATATATGAATAAATGTAAGATAATATTGATTATTTCAAACCATAACAATAATATTTTGTTGTATTTATAACATAGGTAAAAGTAAAACATGGCAATAGCACAAAGTCAGGTTGAGTAAATAAAGTAAATGGTTTTATGGTCTGTGTATCTTTTTGGATGTGGTAAAAGTACTAATTTAAAGTTACTGATAAATCAACTTTGCACATTTCAATCTCTTGGGTAGCCACTGAAAGGATAATGAAAGCTAAAATTACAAAGCTATGGTGGAATAATTAAGAAATACTTGATTTCTTCCAAAAGAAAGTAAAAAGGAAGAATAAAATGATAGTGAATAAATGAAATGATTAGAAAAGAAATTAAAAAATGGGACTTACCTTGCATTCAATGTACATATACATTTAGGTATTCCACTTAAAATTCAACTATTGGCAGACTAGATTAAACAAAACAGTTACATGAGATACACATGAGATAAACCTTAGATAGAATGACACAAAAGGGTGGAAATTAATAGGATGGGAAAAGATGCTCTACAAAGACTGTCCAAAAGAAATATGATATGGCAACATTGCTATGGGATGAGGTAGTCTCTAGGGCAAGGGGCATCATGAGAGATGGGAATATTGTGACAAAGAGGTCAATTCAACAGAAAATATGTAACATTCCTAAGTATGTATGACTCTAAAATCAGGTGTGTACAAGCACACAGAGCAAAAGGTGACAAAACTAAAAAGAGAGATATTTGGAGAGTTTGAATAAAAGTCTTAGTAGCTAATAAAATAAGTATAGAAAAATAAGGATATAGATTGAGACAACATACTTCAGCACATTGATTTAATTAATGTATGGCACTGCATACAATGATGGAATATGCCATCTGTCAGGATCACATGATGACAAGCAGGTAGACTTGGCCTCTGGTTATATTTGCCAACCCTTTGGTTAGGCCATAAAACAAATAGCAACAAATATTAAGATTAAATCAGACCGTATATGTTCCTTAAACACTGTGGACTTGAACTAATATTCAGTAGCAAATAACTAGAATATTTTCAAATATTTTGAAATAAAGCAATACATTTTTGTATAATATATAGGTCAAGTAAGAATTCACAATGAAATTAGAAAATATTTTAGCTGAATTATAATGAAAATATAAGTATCAAAACTGAGATGCCACTGCAATAGTGTTTAGAGGGAAATGTATTGCTTAACATGCCCGTGCCACAAAAGAACAGTTGGGAATTGGTGATCTTCAGGCTTCTGTTTCAAGATTCCAGAGGACTATAAGCAAATTGAGTCCAGAGGAAGTAGAAATAAGGAAATAAAGGTAAGAGGAAAAAAATGACAATAAAGGAAAAATACAGTCCAGCATTTCTTATGACCATACATGCAGAAATCCTAAAACAAAAATATTAGTAAACTGAGTCCAGTGAGACACTTAAAGAACAGAACATTGTGATTAAGTCGAATGTTACTGTGTTTAATCATTGTAAGTCAACCAGTGTAATTCACTGTAACCACAGAATAAAGGAGAAAATCATATGACCTGTGTTAAAATCTCTGAGAAAACTAGGAAAAAAAGGAAACTTTCTCAGTATGTTAACAAGTATCTACAAAAATCTATTCCAACCGTCATGACTGAAGATGAAATATTAAATGTTTTCCTGCTGAAGCAAAAGGTGACAAGGGTGTTCTCTGTCATCACTGCCATTCAACATTGTACTGAAGATCCTAGCTAATGCAGTGAGGAGAAAAGAAAAAAGAAGATTGGAAAAATACAAGAAGCCTGTTGCTATTTGTAGATGACATGTTGCAGTACATAGAAACTCCACAGGAATATTTGAACTATCAGAAATTATAAAGGAATTATCAAGATTGTTGAATATAAAGTCACTATAAAAAGATCAATGATTACCATATATTTAGCAAAAAATAAATAGAAAACAAAAATTTAAAACAACCCCTTCATATAACAAAAAAAAAATCCGTGGAATAAATCCTGACATACCTGAAAGATGATCAAGACCTCTGCATTGAAAATACAAAACATTTCTGGGAGTAAAACAGACTTAAATACATGGATACCACATGCAAAAGAATGAAACTGGACCCCTATCTTACACCACTCACAAAAATTTACTTGACATAGTTTAAAGACTTAAATGTAAAAACTAAAACTATAAAATTCCTAGAAGAAAACGTAGGGAAAAACTACTTAGCATTGGTCTTGGCAGTAATTTTTGAATAAGATGCCAAAAGCATAGGCAACAAAAGCTAAAATAAACAAGTAGGTCTATATCAAACTAAAAGTTTCTGCATGGCAAAGGATACAATGAATTGAAAAGCAAACTATGGAATGGGATAAAATATTTATAAACCATATATATGATAATGGGCTAATATCCTAAATATATAAAGAGCTTACAAAGCTCAATAGCAAAAATCAAATAACATGATTAAAGGATGGACAAACAACCCAAATAGACATTTTTCCAAAGAAGACATATAAATGAACAATAGGTACATGAAAAGGTGCTCGACATCCCTAAATATCAGGGAAATGCAAATCAGAACCACAATGAGATACCACTTTATGCTGTTAGAATGGTTACTATTGAAAAGCCAAGAGATAACCAATGTTGGTAAAGATACGGAGAAAAGGAGACCCTTGTACTGTATTGGTGAGAATGTAAATTGGTACAGTTATTATGGAAAACAGTATGCAGGTTCCTCAAAAAATTAAAAAATATAACTACCATAAGATCCAGTAATCCCACTTTTGGGTATGTATTTAAAGGAAATGAAATCTGTATCTTGAACTGATATCTGCACTTCCGTGTTCACTGCAGCATTCTTCATACTAGCCAACCCCGGGAAAAAAACCTAAGTGTCCACGGATGGATGAATGGATAAAAAAAATATGATACACACACATACACATTGGAATATTATTCATCCTTAGAAGGAAATCATATCATTTATAACAACATGGGTGAACTTGGAAGGAACTGTGCTAAGTGAAATAAGCCAGACAGAAAAGACAAATACTGTATGGCATCACTATATGTAGAATTAAATAAAAAGAAAAGCTGATTTCATAGAAACAGAACAAAATGGTGGTTGTCAGGGGGAAGAGGGGAAGGGGAAATGGGGGATGTAAGCCAAAGGGTACAAGCTTCCAGTTGTAGGAAGAGTTCAGTTCTGAGCAGCTAATGTGCAGTGTGGTGACTATAGTCGTTGATACAGTATTGCCTACTTGAAATTTGCTAAGGGTAGATCTTAAGCATTGTCACCACACACAAAAAATGTTAACTGTGTGAGGTGCCGGATGTGTTAATTATCTTGATCATGGTAATCATTTCACAATGTGTATATATATCAAACATCGTGTTGGACACTTTATACTTTATATACAGTTGTATTTGTCAATGATTTCTCAGTAAATTTGGATTTAAAAAGAATTCAGCTAACACCTGGAGGAGGTTAAAGTCTTAGTTTTGGGCTCTGTGACAGTATTTTTCCTTTGCTTTAAGCCCTAGAGCATTTCAATCCTGAGACATTTCAGGAGATGAACAGGGTGAACTGTGCCATGCACATGACCCTTTGTAACTGCCAAGGTTACAGGTCAGCATATGTCAAGTAACTTAAAATTTTCTTGTCCATCATGTGATTAATTTGCCTGAATGAAGTGCTATAAAACTAATAAAACTCCTTTTTAAAAATCAATAAAACATGTAAATAGATAAGCAGTGTAACTAATCATACAATGGAACATTATTTAGTGATAGAAAAGAATAAAGTGTATTCAACAACCTGCGTGAATCTCAGAAGTGTCACATTAAGTGAAGGAAGGCACATAAATGCACCTATGATTTTATTTATATGAAATTCTCAAAACTATAGTGACAGATCAGTAGTTCCTGGACTTGGACAGAGGAGGGGATTGACTTCAAAGGGCATGAGAAAACTTTTGGGGTGATGGAAATGTGCTATATCAAGGTTGTGGTTGTAGATTTGCTACAATAGTTTCTGTAGCAAAAGAAAAAAAGAAAAAAAAAAAACAAGTAGATTGCTCAGTTTCCAAGGTAGTAGAGCGAGAGCCATCCTCAGTGGGTTTTTGTTGATACTACTTAGTATGAGAATAAAACAAATAGTTTTAATGTTACTTAAAGGGCAGTTTGTATGCAAGTATGTAATCAGTTTTTTAAAAATGTGTATCTTGCCTTTGATGAATCTAGGGACAACTACGTATATCTGTCAAAGCTAATCACATTGTACATTTTAAATGGGTGAATTTTATTGCATATAAATTATATCTCAAAAAATGTGACAGTAAGAAAGTATAAAAAAGATTAAGTCCATCACTGAAGAGAATGAGAGAATGTTAATGGGATTCGAAATTTCAATAGATTTTTTTGGAATGTGGAGGAATGCATGAAGGAGCAGAGGTGTCATGATTCAAATAGGAGCTGAGCTCCTATCCTCATCCAGGCAGGATTTGATTTAGACTATTAAGAGTAAGAAATGAGGTTTGTTTGATGGTGCCGGTCACACACTGTGCACAGCAGCAGTGGGAAAAAAATCATAGACTCCTCCTCCAAAGAATGTGGGCCACCTGCCTGGGGAAAGGCATGGCAGCCAATGATTTTATTTATATGAAATTCTCGTGGTGGGTCCCCCTGAGTGAGCCCCCCTGAATCCCAGTATACACGCCCCCGGCCTAAGGTCTTTCTTCCTTGTGGCACACATGAAAATGAAATCTCCCAAATAGGTCTCACTCCTGCTGCCAGGACCCAGTGTATCTTCCATTCAACGATGAAGTCCATGAGGACGAAGATCTAACTGACTCCAGGTCAGAGGGAACCTGTTGGGAACAGTGCATCTTTCTTAGTTATGAACAAAGAAGCAGGGATCAACAAGGCAAAATCTAATAACACAGAAGAGAAGGAGTTAAAAAAATAATCAGAACAACTGACCCCAATGGAAATACAATATGCGAACTAGTAAATATGAATATGAATGGACCACAAATTCTTACAATTATTTGAGAAGACTGAACAACCATAAAAAAAAAAGTGCTGTGGGAAAATACCAATCCATACTGCATTTTGTTCATTTCTGTTGTGAAATACCTTGTATATTATGCTTTGTTTTTATACTAATTTCTGGCCATGTGTGTCTTCTCACAAGACTGTGTGCTCCTTGAAGACAGGAACAATCTGGTGATCTGTGATTACCCAGTGAACTTAAAGCTTTTAGACAGTCAGTTCTCTCTCAGCATGTCCCTTAGAACTGCTTAGGCCTCAGATTCCAAGTATGGGGCTCCTGTGTTCTGAGTGTAGTTTGTATTTGTGAGACATTCAAGTTCAGTTTCCAAGGTAGTAGAGCTAAAGCCATCCTTGGGGGGGTTTGTTTATTCTACTTAGTATGAAAATAAAACAAATAGTTCCAATGCTTTTTTTTTCAGGGCTGTTTGTATGCAAGCATATAATCACACTGTTTTTTTTCTAATGTGTATTTTGTCTTTTGATGAATGCAGGGACATCATGTGAAAGCGCAAGCTCTTTCTGGATTGGAAAGAAGTACGGAAGTGTTGAAGGAATTTCTCTATTGCCTTGCTTTAAATCCTGAATGTAACTCAGTGAAGAAGAAGCACAGAAGGTGTGATTTCCTTCAGATGACTTTGTGCTTTAAGTCTTATTTACAGCCTTTGTGTCCATGCAGAGTAAATCTGGCATGTAAAATAAACAAACATAATTCTCAATATCCATGACAGTGTGATTTAAAACACACAGTAATAATGATGAGTTGCATGCATTTGATAACTTTCACCTGTGGATAAAGCAGAATGTTTCATGAGCCAGCATGCACATACCTCAGTTCTGCTGAAATAATGGTGTATGTGTGAGGCAGAGTTGATGTATGAGGCTCAGGAGGCAAAGCCATCATTTCAAGAATTATAATGTTTGTATAGCAACCCTATAATTTTTCACTGTGATATATGCAAAATATATCAATTTAGCTACATAGGTTGACTTGAAATTTTCAGCAAAGTTTCACCAGCATGATGCAGAAATATCTGCTCCTTTATGCAAATCTTTAACCCAGTCTTATTAGAGATCACCAAGTCACACTTAATGTAGGAATCTACCCTATAAGAAAGCCTGTACAATAGTTACACAGTGTTAGCACTTCCAGTGACCAGGTGTTCTTGTTTTTATATCTGTATTTCCCAATTTTAACACTAGTGCCAACTTCTGTAAATTTACCCTGCAATTTCCACTTTATATTCTAGTTTTATTTTCTAAAGCAAGAGAAAATGCATCTGTTCTCCCTCCATCATTTTAAATCACCTTAGATATTTGAGAACAGCTGTTGCCTTTGCCTCCAGTTATCTCTGGACCAAACAACCTTTTCTCACAAACAGGGTGGTAAGGTTTCCTCTGGATGCAGTCTAGTGTACCCCATGGGTCAGCATCCAGTGGTGAACTTTTACATTGTGTTCACACTGTGAGGCGTGTTTGTTTATTTTTAGCCCAGTACCATCACACTGTTGGCTCCTATATGAACTGCAGTTGGCCAAAACACCTAGATCATTTTTTATTAATGAGAAGTTTCTAGTAATATTTTTTATACTTTTTTTGGTACAGCTGACTGGTCTTGGATAATCCTGTTAGATTGTCACTCATTGGTTTTGGCCCTTGTTTCAACTTGTCAAAACACTATTGAATCCTGAGTCAGCTTTTTCAACTACCCCTGCCTGCTTTGTCCCACTTGCAAATTTCACAAGAATCTTAAAACATCTCTCACCTGATCCTTCCAACAGTATCATGAGAGATTCAGCCTGAGCTCAGAAGAGACTAAGTAGATGCACAAAGGCCCCAGGACCAGGGTTCAGGTCTCTTGGCTCCTTGTCGGTCCAGCACTCCCAGACATGGTATTTTGCCTCCATCATTCTGTGGGTGGAGAGGTCCTCTATCACAGACAGTGCCAAACAGTGCCAACCTGTTGATGCCCACAGAACATGCTACCCTCCCTGAGAGCCTGCCTCTCCCCCCGTTGCTCAGGACACTGAGGTCCCCGAGGGGCTTTTCCTCATTGCTACAGAGGTCACTGGTTCTCATACACTCACCTGCCACACAGAGAACACGGGGGCCTTCTTCATTCAAGTCTCAGTTGCTCCTTTTGGCCTCTGATGCCCTTGGATTCAGCTGAGTCCAGGAGGTTTGGCAGGACCATCAGGAGACGGGCGATCTCTTCCCACCACCACTACAAAAAAATGCTGGTCCAGGGCTCGTGAACCAGAATCATAGCCTTTCACCTTCTCTCTCTCTTTAAAGTTCTTAACCAGGTGTCTTTTCTGGTTCTTTTGTAAATTGGGCAGTCCTCTGGAAATACCTCAATCCTGTGGATGATCCCCATTTAGTTTTAATGTGGCATTCCCTGAAACCTCTACACCCCACTTTTCTCTTACCCATGAGACTTTTAGGGGAGATTTTCTGTAGCAGAGGTGTAAGGACCAGACAGAAGAAAGAGCAATGTGCATATTTTATAATTGGTAAGATACAGATAGAAAGGGACTAGGAACTAAATGCTTAAAGTGTTGACTGTAGCTTCAGAAATGTGTGGATTTTAAGATAATGGCAATTGGAATATGAAAATTACTCTTTTCAATGTTTTAGGCCTATTTGGCCTCATAATCTGTTCTGAATCTTTAAGGCATATTGGGCATTTTTCAAAAATGTTTAAAATAATTTTCTTCTTCTTGTCAATTTTATAGGTAATGTGTGAGGTGTCTTTCCCTGCTACAGAAAATATGCATCCAAATTTGACACCTTCCATCCAAAGCAGAATGTCTAACTCCCGATTAAAGGCTCAGTGTCACAGCCATATAAACAGCCAGCCTGCTCTGGATGAAGGTGGCAGCGCCGGCAGTTCTAAGGTATGAAGTGCCTGCCAGTATTATCTTGATTAAGGCGGCAATGCCTTAATTTTGAACACTGACAAGTTATTCAGACTGTAGCATTATATTAGAAGTACTTCTCCAGACAGGTCTAGTTCCTCAACCTGGAAGCTGGAGCTTTTAAAGGAAGTTGGCAAAAGTAATGACAATGACTGAACCTTGAAAGAAACTTTTAGAACATCTCCAAGCAACCTAAAATATCAGGAGACTTGAAATCATTTTGGCATGAAAAAAAGAAAACAGAGGGATATTTGAATATATGAAGTTCAATGGACCTGTCTCAGGAAGATGTTATCCTGTATTTTCCCATGAAAAGAATGAAGTTCATCTTAGAAGTTAACAGATGAAACAAATTATGAAGGAAGAGTACAAGCCTCCTTTTTTCTAAGAAAAAAATGTTTTTAAGATTTCTAAGAAACACTACTGTATAAATTTATATTTCTCTTCTGCTGTGATTTGTTTAATATTCAAAATTATTTTTTTCTCACCCAGAATCCATCTGATAAATGTGATGTGTTTAGAAATGCCAGTTCTTCAGTTTTATATTTTATACTGGGTTTACACTTGGAGGAGGACATAAAGTGTTAGAAAGTATCTTTCCAATGGCACCCAGCACCCGTGTGAAGAGACAGCTTCCAAGTGATTTGGAAGATGCTCCTGACTTGAACGCCCTGGAAAAATTCCCAAGAAAGGTCAGTGAGCTATTCTGTCATGGAGTTGTGTGACTCCAGAGTGATACAATGTCAGCTAATCAATATATTTTTTTAAAGTTTTACAGAGGTAGTTAAAAATTAATAATAAAATGAATAACTAGATCAACTCTAGATTATAGAACAGTTTATTTGTTAAACCTACAAAGACTTAATAGTAAAAAAAAAAGGAGAAAAAGCTTAACTTTTATTTGTGCTTACTGCCTAGATGAATTATTGGGTAGGAATTCTTCCTGCCCACTGTGATTTGCATTGTGTAGCACATTTTATCCAGAGGAAATACAGTTATTGCATGCTCTTATCCAGATGTGCAAGTGTTAATGACAGCATTTAAAATTTTTTCAGAGGCAGTTTCCTCACCTCAAAGGAACATGAACCCTAATGCAGAAAGTGCAGAGTTCTCAATAGATGTACCTGACTTTGAGTGTGCCCTTTGCATGAGGTAGGATGACATAGAATTTATGCAACTCTTTGAAAAAATTCAGCCTTTCTGAATTTTGTATCCTAAACATATGGCCTTTGTATTATGAGAGAAATTATGTATACCTCAGTAATAATTGATTTCTAAAAATTTGGTAAGAAAGATAAATGGAAATGGATATGTGATTTCAAGAACAGTAAGGGAATTGACTAAGGGACTCATTATAAAATAAAGAGATTACTTGAAAATTTGTCTCTTGTGGACAGTTTTTGCCGAAAATTCGAGCTATTTTTTCCAGGTTGCTCTTAGAGCCTGTCCCGGCACCATGTGGACATACATTTGCCTAAAATGCCTTGAGCTCTGCCTCAACCATGCCCCACATTGTCCACTGTGCACAGAAAAACTTTCCGAAGTAAGTATTTCTTGTGAAATGACGAGGCAGTTCAGCCCTGCTCTTCATCCCTCAGAAAGTGCACATTTCATGGGTTGGCTTTGCCTCTACCACCCATTTGTTGAAGAAATTAGGGTTTCTTCTGTCAAAGACAGGCCTTTTCCTGCCTCTCTAGATTCTCAAAGAATACACAGGGGAAGTTGAGAGACAGAAGCAACTAAATTTCAGGGAAATTTTCTGGCATGAATTTTAGCTGAGATATATACATAAATTTAACTTAAAAAAATTGAAGTATAGTTGATGTACAGTATTATATTGGTTTCAAGTACACAGCATAGTGATTTGGCAGTTATCTACATTATTAAATGCTCACTCCAACTATTTACAACATAGAAAGATGTTACAGTATTACTGATTATATTCTCTCTGTTGTACTTTGATGCCTGTAACTAATTTATATTATTGAGATTTTGTGCCTCTTTATCCCCCTCACATATTCACCCACCCACCCCAGTAGTTGAGATATATTGAAAATAGCTGATATAATTGGAACTCTTATGTGTCAATAATAAATAGCTGAGATAACATTACTGAGTCCTTATTGTATGTTAACCACAGAGGGTTCAGTTAACATTGGGTGCACTTAGCGTGTGTGCCAGGAGTTTCCGTTTGCCCCACCCTCTGGTGGAGTCATATCAGGGTGCTCAGTTTTGCATAGGAGTGGAGACTTGACCTCTTCTGACTGCCTGGAAGCCCCTTTGGTGTGCCAGCAGTTGTGTCTTTTGTCTGAAATCAAAACCAGTAAAACTGAGGTCCCATGGGGGAAGCTTCTTAGTGATGTCTGACCCAAATGTGAACTGTTACATCCATGCATTAGGTATGGTGAATGCAGTAAACAACATTTAAAAGCTGAAGGCTTTCTGATTAACTTTTCAAATAGTGAATCTAAGTCAACTGTATTGCTCTCTGGTCTGGTGATCCCACTGACTTTTCACAAAGTAAGTTATTTAGCTTCTTGGGGAGGCAGGAATTTTTTTTTCTATCCACAGAATGATACTGATGATATTTGCCTTAATTACCTCCCAGAGATTAAACTCACTTAATGTATTTTAAATAAGATAAAGTATGTTTTTTAGGTGAAATTCATTTTTTAAATCAAACATTGTAAAGTAGATATTATATACTCAAGTGAATCTTTAAATAATCGTAACTTTTTAATTTACTGCTAAAACTTATTGAAATGAGCTACCATAATTGAAACGTTTCTAAAACATTATATGTACATACTTGATTTGTTAAATTGTATATATACTGGATCTTCCTACATTATCCAGGGTTCTCAGGAACATCAACCATCATACTATATGCTGTGTGTCATGATGGATGCTTTTGAGTCTACATGGCAGTCCCCTTTCGTGGCTCCTGTAGGCCCTACTCTATGGTATTTACTGTCTCTGCTGGCTAACAGCGATGTAGCCTGGCCTGCTGCCTTGTTTCACTCGTGCTTGTCTGGGCCAATGAGCCTAGATGGCCCCCCTGATCTCAGAGAGTAAAATGCATGTCTTCACAACCACTGTTTGTAACACCCTTCACTCACTTTTGTATTCAGTGCTGTGTGATAAAGCCATGCCTGGAGGTGGGTACTAGAATATAAGCTCCTCAGGGACAGGGATGGCTTCTGTTATGTTTTCACACTATTTGCAATAACTAGAATGCATCCTAGAGGTTCAGGAAACCTTGCTGAATGAACAAATGAATAAAGGAATGAATGATTAATGCAAGCTATACACAGAGGGCCAGTGTTCCCGAAGTTAGAATATAATCCAATGAACTAAAATCCCAATTCATAATTTGATCTTTCTTTGATGGAGCTATCACTTCATGAGCTGAGACTTCCTCACTTGCATTGTTATAAACATGATCTTTATCAATTACCTGTGTATCTACAGAAATCTTGGTTGATACAATGCTAAGTAGTGTGAATTTTATTGTATCACCCATCAGTGAAAGGATACCATAAACTAACAGTATAAAATACCTCTGTCATTAATAATGAAAATTAGGAAGCAGGATTTTAAATTAAGTAAAACTTGTTTCTGCTAGTTATTCTGTTACTGAGGTTTTCAAACACAGCGGTTCCCAGAGGTTGAGCTCCTAGGTCTCAGTCACTTACAGCAGTACATGTAGCTCGTTTCCCACAAGCTAAAGGGAAGCTTGGCAGTATGTCTGGGACCCACCCAGGCATAAGTGTGTCGGAAATGTGGAGAGCCAGGCATGCACATGCTACCAAAGAAACAGCAGCATATGGAAGCCTAGCAGGCCTAGGGTCCCGGCTATGCCTCAGTGACTTTGCACTGGTCCCCCAACCTCGCTGAAACCTGGTTCCTTCGTCGGTGCGCTGTAGATCATTCCCATCATGTAGTGCTGTCTCAAGGCCCAGCTTAACTTATACAGAGCATCTGCAAGTGGTGCCTAATATATGAGGAAGTCAGAGAAAAAGAGCTGTTATTTGCAAATTCATATGCCTGAGATGAAAACTGCACGCAGAGTTAACAGATCTTCAGTTGCAAACAAGCCTTCACCCACTGATCTAGCACTTTTAGTTCAATTTCCACCAACTTCCCCTTCACATCCAGCTTTCATTCTTTGGTCCCTCACCCCCTTTCTCAATCCAAATAAAGTTAACTCTGCCTTTTGCCTGTGTCTGCACAGGTGACATAGCAAAGCTAGAGAAAACCCACAAAATTGAAAAGGTTGGTTTCAGTTTAAATTCACAATCTGAAATCCTAGACTTAGAACACTGCTTAGTTATTTTTACTAGGCTTCTCTGATAGCTTCAGGTTTTCACTTTCCTAGGTGATTATTTCACATTTCTCTCCTCTCCCAATATAGCCTCCTCACTTCCACCCCCGTCCCTGACATTAGGGTACTTGATTGGAAATGTACCCCATTTCCAAGGCAGACCTGTCCCCTCTCTCCTGCGGTGAACACCATCTCCTGCCCTTTCCTCAGGGTTAGATATGCCCTGTGCTCACCCCTACCCAAGGCTGCCCTCCGTGCTCTTGAGCCCCAGCTGGTGTCTTCTCAGAGACTTCGCCCGACCTCCATGTTGACCTTTCTGACCAGGAAGAGAGTTCTTTGTCCTGTAGAATTAGTTACCATATGGTTATTATTTAATATTTTCTTTTGTTACAGCTGTTGGCAAGCAGAAACTTTAATACAACTATTTTGGCCAAAGAATTAATATTTCGATATTTGTCAGACAAACTGATAGGAAGAGAATTTATGATGAAGAAATGATGGAATTGTCAAAGTAAGTCCTCATGGTGTGTGCACTTGGTCTTGAGTTCAGGTTAAGGAAGAAAATCCTTGTCAACCATGAAGCTTTATCTGTTTGTTCTCCTCCTTGGCAGAGAAATTTGAAAGCCTCGAAATAGAAAAAAATGTTCATTGCTAAAAATTTATGCAAATTAATTGAAAGAGGTTGTCATAAATATTTCAAAAGTGTATTTGAACAAAATTATATAGTTCTTTCTGGTATCTAAATAACTGATACTGAATTTTTCAGAATTGAAAAGGCATGGTGTAAAGAAACAGAAGGGAGAACAGGATTGCCACTCAAAATAGGCTGGACAGTTGTTTTTTGTTGTTTAAAGTGATTAAAGTTTTGTATCGTAGTAGTCTTTGACTAGTGAAATCTTACAGTTCCTTCCATTTTTTTCTTTAGAACACATTACCTTTGATTACGAGATAGTTTTGCTTTTCATCAGAATTTTGTCCTTATTTATTTATTTTTATTGCAGTAGAATTGGCTTATAATATTTTATTAGTTTCAGGTGTATAATATAAAGATGTGATATTTGTGAATGTAAGTCTAGTTAACATCTGTCACCATACAACTAAAAAAACTTTCTTGTGATGAGAACTTTTAAGATCTGCTCTCTCAGCAACTTTCAAATATGCAGTATAATATTATTAATTATAGTCACCATTCTGTACATTACACCCCAGGACTTTTATAACTGAAGTTTGTACCTTTTGACCCTGTTTACTCATTTCATCCCATCTCCCACTCCACCTCTGGCAACCATCAATCTTATTTCTGTGTCCATGAGGTTGGTTTTGCTTTTTTTTTTTTAGTTCCCACACATAAATGAGATGATAAAATATTTGTCTTTCTCTGACTGACTTATTTCACTTCACCTAATACCCTCGAGGGCATCAGAACTTCTTTTTAGTGATCATGAACTATAACCTTTTCTAAGTAAACTAATGTAATTTGTTGTATTCTCTTTCGTCAGTTAAGTAAGACAGGCTGGGCAGGAAACCCGGGTGAGCTGAGAACATTCTCAGGCTGTGGTCCTTGGCTTTCTTTCCCCACTCAAGACAAAGGCAGGCCTGAAGTTTTTATTTTGTAAATGAGAAAATTGAGGTTGGCTTACATTTGCTGTTTTCAGTGACTCTCATCCTCCCCTCTGTTTCTAACACCTGCATCCCTGTTAACATTTTCCTCTGCCCTGCAGCCTGACCAGAGACGTCCCCATCTTTGTGTGTGCCATGGCCTTCCCCACCGTCCCATGTCCACTGCATGTCTTTGAGCCCCGCTATTGGCTTATGATAAGAAGATGCATGGAAACTGGCACCAAGTGGTTTGGCATGTGTTTATCTGCTGAGCACACAGGGTAAGATTTATCAGCATTCAAAAGGTACTACTTAACTGCAAAAATCTGTCATTTTCTTGAAGAATAATTAAGATGTGACTCCCATTAGATAACAAAGTATAAATTAATGGCCATCCATGATGTGATCCCAGCCTTCTTTCTAGCCTCACTGCTTACTCCTTTTTTTCAGACATCATCCTTGCTAGTCTACTATCATATCATCAGTTAATGTTTTCTAAATATAGTTTATGCTTCCATCCAAATACCTCCATGCTTCCCTCTGCCAACAGTTCTTTTCTAGCTCATCAATATACAGACAAATCCAGTCTAACTTCTAAGGTTTAAAAACATTGCTGCATCTTCCATGAAGTCTTTCTCTATGCACAGCCAGAAAAACCCATGGCACTTGATTTTTACCTCTCCTTGTTTTACATGATTTGTCTGGGGAAGATGTTACAAACCATCAGGCAGCTCCTCTCCATGGGCTGCTCTGGGGGCTCTGGGTGCTTCCCATGTCTTGGCTTCCTGATCCCCTCAGGCTTTGTTGTTACCATGTGGTCATGATAAGGTCCCTGTATCCAAGTTCTAGCTGGTGGAGAAAAGGGGCACACATTACTATAGATCACACCTACTTCAAAGGAGGCTGGTAGAATCTAGTGATGGCTGTTTAGGGCCACCCACTAGATTCTACCATAAATACTATATATTCCATAAAAAGGAAAATATTTTTTAAAAGATATGTGTAGGACCTTTATGGGAAAACTTCTACAAACTCATTGAAAGATATTCAAGAAGATCTACATAAACAGAGAGAAATACCATGTTCATGGATGCATAGGCTCAATGTCATAGAGATGTCAGTTTTATTCAAATCAGTTTATCAATCCAAAGTAGTCACAGTCAACATCCCAAGAGGGTTTTAAATGGAATCACTCAAGCTGGCTTTAGAATCACTATGGAAAAGTAAAAGACCAAGACCATGATAGTTTAAAAGAATCCAGCTGAGCAAGATGGGAGACCATCCCTATAATAAGCTTAACATGTCATAGTATGTAGACCATTGGAATAGAATGCAGAGATGAAAACATCCACTCATATATGTATTCCAAATTTATAAATATTTTTGAGAAAAGGCAAACTGCTCAATAAAAGGTGCTCAGAAAATTAGTGGGTAATCCTAACAGGAAAAAAAAAAAAAAAACTCTGCCTTACACCAATCACACAAATTAACACATTTACATTTCCACTGTGAAATGTGAAAAAATATAAAAATGTCAAAGAGAAAATATTGGGGCCTATCTTTACAATTAGAAGTGGGGAAAGATTCTTTTTTTTAACACAAAAATGCTGAGAGCACATAGCATAAAGGAGGACACTATTTTGTTTGTATTTCTTATCCTTTAAGCTCCTGGCTTTAATCTAGGGAAAAAGAAGGACCTCCTATGTTTTTAAAATCACAGTCATTTCTCCTGACTGTCCTGTCAGGATTTCAGAGTGTGGCTGCATGCTGGAGATTAAGGACGTCAGAACGTTTCCGGATGGAAGCTCAGTTGTGGACGCAATTGGAATTAGTCGGTTCCGAGTTTTAAGCCACTGTCACAGGGATGGCTATAACACAGCGGACATTGAATATCTTGAAGATGAAAAGGTGAGGTTTATTTTACTGGTGTGTGTTTAGAGGTAAGGTGCCTTGTTTCCCTCTGTTTTGGAAACACTTGGTCAGAGTCTTTTGGCTATATTATTTCCTCAATTCATCACTTAAAATTTATTTTAAAATCTCAGTGGATTTTTAACTGAGTTGAAGCAGTGGAAAAATACTGTCCTCCTGTAAAGATTGCCTTTCACTGCACATTGTAAAATGCGTTTTGTGATTTGTTGTTTTGATGTTCTAGCCCAGGAATTGGCAGGCTTTTTTTGTGAAGTGTCCTACAGCAATAGTGTACTTTAGACTTTCCAGGTTATGCAGTCTCTGTCACAACTACTCCGCTCTGCTGTTATCACCCAGAATTATTTATGTGTCTGAAAGAAATATCTGAACACATATTTTGACATATTAACAAAATGCTTTGAAGGGAGTATGAAAAAAACTTGTACAATGATGTCCACAGTGGTCTTTCTTTTTAATAGCCAACAATAAAAACAGCTCATGTGCTCATCAACAGTAAATTAACAGATAAATGAATTGGAATATTACTTGGCAGTGAAAAGGAAAGACCTCCTAATGCCCATACAACCTGGATGAATTGCATGGATGTTATACTAAGCCAGAGAAGGCAGACACACACAGCATGCACTGTGTGACCCCATTTATGTACTTCAGAGAGTGGTTGCAGAGTGGGAGAGTGGTGACTGGAAAGAGGAGGGAAGAGGCCTAGGTGATGGAGTGTTCTCCATCCTGTTTTTAGGATGGTGGTTACACTGGAGTGTAGAGTTGACAAAACTCAGCCAACAATTCAGATCTGTTCATTTTTTTGTATGTAATTTATGCTGCAACAGAAACATTAAAATATTTAGAAGGAGGAGGTCCTCAGAATTATTGTATTCCTCTTGAATTTTCTGGGTCACATTTAGAAATGGGGAAAGTGAGAGTCTTCAGGTATCTCACATGACACTAGAAGTCATTTTGAGAACAATGATGTACATTTGTGTCAGCTGTGAGTAGAGGCACATCCACAGTGCCAGCTGTGTCTCTGTGCCAGCTGCTGTTCCTGGTTGTCTGTGAGCACAGGGCCTCACAGTGCAGAGGAGCAGAGCTCAGCAAGATGAGCTCTAAGGTCCTGGCTTTAAAGGATGAGACCAAATGTATTCCTCGGGGTCCCTCTGCTGCAGTGATCACAGATCTGATGGGAGGGTTTACTGACTGTTGTGGTTGGTGGCTTTTAGGAATGTAACTTTTTTTTTTATTGGAACTCAAATAGCTACAACGTGAAATAATTTTAGTTTTGATTTAAAGAAAACCCTCTCTGCATATGAGTATTTGATTCATTGGAATCAAATTGAGAATGGGTGTGTGCATTGTATCTAATTTCTCAGTTCACTCAAGTTTTCAGAGATACTGGCATTTTATAACTAGAAAGGACCTGGATGGCTTACCCCGTTTTTATAGATGAGAAAATTCTGCCCTTAGGAAGCTAAACAACTGGCTGCAATTCACACACGGGAGTCAGTGATGAAACCAGAGCAAACCTGGGTCCCCTGGTCCCCAGCCCAGTACCTTTCCCAGCCAGGCATTCCTAAGCAGAACTGGGACATACTTAAAACAAGTGACCTAACAGTGAATAGGTACCCAGAAGCAAAGCAGGGTGAATCTGAAGTGCCAGGGCCTGCCACCCACATAAGGCCTATGCAGCCTGTGCACCGCGGCTGTAACCTGGTCTTTGAAATGCAGTTTAATGACATTGAATACAATTTTTAAAATGTCTAATGTTTTCCCTTGGTAATTCTACTTCCGGGAAACTGTCTTGAAGAGATGACAGCCCTTTCTCTTACCAAAAAAAAACAATGAAAATAAACAAACCCAAACCCATTTGCATTTTTAATATTCATATTATTTTTTAAAGATATTTTTTATGTGAAGGACTGAGTTAATTATGGGGTATCTCAAATATTGCATATAGCCATTGAAAATTATTCACAACTACATGGTTTATGTGCCTATACTGTTAGGAGAAAAATCAGGATGTTATAGACAAGACAGGGTAGCTAGATCTCTACTATGCAAGAAGCACGGATTCCTGTGTTGAGCATATATCATGTTTATAAAACACTAATGACTCATCAAGGGAATTGATGCCATGAATCTGCTTAGTGGATGTGGGGGAGGTAACTGTTTTTCATGTACAATAATGAATTGTTAAAAAGGTCACCGCTTTTTCCTTGATCAGGTAGAAGGTCCAGAGTATGAAGAACTGACCACCCTTCATGACTCAGTTTATCCGCAGTCTGTCTCCTGGTTCACATCACTTCAGGATCACATGAAAGAACAGATTTTAAGCCATTTTGGGTTAATGCCAGACAAGGAACCTGAGCCTCCAGTATATTCTCCTTTTTTCTCTTCCAACACTGTTATTGCTTGCTAAGACACATTATTCTGAAGGAAAATTAGGCAGTTCTATGCTACATGGATCCAACATAATTGCTTATGATCCATTCATTTATGAACAGCCCAGAGAAGCACAGTATAGTAGCATGTGCCTTTTGGGACAAAACAGTAAATGTTTTCTGATTAATACCACATAAAGGCCATTTCTTTTCTATCAAAAGTCAGTTTATTCTGTCATGTTTTATGCTTTCATTCCTCTCACCAACATTGTAAGATTTCGGTGGTAATGTTTAGTGTATTGGCCTGAGCTCTGCATGCTTTGCACACACTATGGCCTTGACCCAGCACACGGGTGTTAATAGTGATGAGAAAAGTCCCCTGGCTCTCCTTACTCCCTGCCCCCAGTCCAGCCCTGCTGGCTTTCTCTGGTGCTCCCCACGAGTGCTATGAGGGATTCGGTTCCTTAGGCAATGACTGGGCTTCAGGTCTGTGATGCTTTCCTAAGTGCAAATGATCCCCCTCCCCTGTGTCTGGGTGACAGAGCCCGGCAGGGGGGGATCAGGCTTGTGACTGGGAGTGTGTAGTTCCTCCTCCTGTGCGCGCCCACCTGCCTTAGAGAAAGGGACAGGACCAGCCCTCAGCAGATTAGGGCAAGATGAAATGTCTTCTGTGCCTTTTCCAACCATTTTTATGCTTCTTTTTCTTGTCTCTTAGGGGCTTCTGTCTTGTACCCCCTGACTTTTCCAAACTCAGGATGGTGCTTTGGGCCAAAAACTGCTCTTCCTCACCCTCCGCTCTCCTACAGCCCCTCCTCCTACTCCGCCCTGCCTCTCAGATTCAGAAAGTAAGGTGATTGACTCGAATTAAGGCACGGATCAATCTTTTATTCTAGGGATTTCTGCTTATTACTCAAATTAACCTCTAACTGGGAGATATATTAATTTTCTACTACTGCTGTAAGATACCACACAAATGTAGTAGCTTAGAACGATAGAAGTTCTCAGAGTTCTGGAGGTGAGATGTCCCCACCAGACCTCACTCCGCTTTGACCAAGGTGAGGGCAGGACCTTAGTCCTTTCTGGAGGTTCCACAGGGGAGTCTGTTTTCTCGCCTTTTTTAGCTTCTAAAGGCTGCTGGCATTCCCTGGCTCTTGCCCCTTCCTCATCTCCCAAGCCAGAGCATTGCATCTCTCCTAAAGACCGTTCTCCTAGTCATGTTTCCCTCTGACCACAGTGCAGGAAACTTCTCTGCTTCAAGGGCCTGGGTGATGAGGTTGAGCCCATTGGGAAAATCCAGCATAATCTCCCCACCTCAGGGTCCTTAATCACCTCAGCAAAGTCCCTTTGGCCATGTGGGCACCATGTTCACAGGCGTCAGTGGTTAGGGGATAGACACCTTTGGGACACCATGTGTCTTCCTGCCACAGGATTTTAGGTAGTATATGGGAGGTGTTTTCATGCCAAGTCTCTTCTCCCTAAGCTTGATATTCAGCTTTTTCCCACTGTGTAAGATGAGCAGGTAAAGGAGAGTTTTCTCCAACATTTTTACCTTCTTCCTTGGGAGAGAATTTGGTACCTTCCTCACAGTGACTTGGGCTGCCCTGTGCCTTGGGCGGTACTGTTACTTCTGATCTTTCAGCGAAACCTTCCTCACCCTAAGCTGAGGTGACTCCAGAGTCCGCTATCCCAGTTTCCAACTGGGATTCTGCCTACCTTCGGCATGGGAGTGGAGGGGAATCCAAGACACCGGCAGCAAGAAAGCCTGGATATCTTGGCTGCAGGCCCAGGAATATGGACAGCTTTACGATCAGCTTTTGCCTATAGCTCAGTCCACAATCCAATACTTTTTGATTAAGTATTTTGTGTTGGTTTCAGCCAATGGATAGTGAAGCTCTCAGCCAGAAATGCCTGGGGGCCCTGGTGAGCTTTCCACAGACATCTCCCCTTTCCAAATGTTAGTTACCACTGGGCCAACCCTTGTGGTTCTTACTGTGATTGTAGGACACCCTTCAGCAACAACCATTGACAACTTTGAAAAAACAGGTTTATTATTCACAAGACCTGGAAATTCCACAGCACACCTGGGGCTGTACCCAAGGTCACGGGTAGAGAGTGTGCACGGGCTGGGGATTCTGCTTTTATTGAGGTCCAGAGTAGGATTCTAGGGGTTCACTCTTTATTTGTGAATTTAAAACAAGAGTTGGAATTTAAAGCACTGGAAGAGAAAAAAAACAAGTGGCTCTGACGGACAGTTACCAAAACCAACCAATATCTTCAAAACAAAGGAGCCTTAGTCCAGGGAGGTGACCTGGTTCTTTATCTAGACCTGTGACTGGTGGTGTTTATTCAGCATAACAGCTGTGGAGATGCCTTGGCAATCAAAGCTTAAGTCAGGCATTTGTATCATAAAAAATAAGAAAACCACCACTGTTAGGGCTTACATGCCATTATGTGAAATAAAGGCTGTCAGCACAGTAATTCTTATACATGTAATTTGTAGTAACCCCATATATATACAATTAACACTGGCATGTAGATGTTCCATATATATATATATATACACACACACACACACCTTTGTCACATTTACTTTAATACAAGATTTATTTTATTATAACACTCAAACTAAGCAGGCAAATCTACTTAATATTATGCTTATATAGTGTTTTTAAAACGTGACAACCCGGAACATTGGAAAGGACAAGTAACAATTACAGCTCCCTCTTCTGGCCGGGCTATATTCTTCACTAGCGCTTAGAACAGAAGCAACTAATTCATACAATGTCCCTTGTGGAAGATGCTTCTCTTTGCAAGTTCTTCCTTTTGTGAGTTCCCTCACACTTCCCTGTGTAATGTAAAAGTATATTTTGTATTTTAAGGTCTGGGTAAATTTGCAAGTAGACCTAAAATAGGAGGTGGCGTTTAATTCTTGCTCATATGTCTGGTGGTGGAACAAAGAACACTGAGAGAACAGGCTTGTATTTTAGGCTATAATGTTGTATTTTCATTTCATTTCTTTTGCAGAGTAATGCTAGTGGTCCCACTTGGTCCTGGTGGGTCCTGGCAGTGTTGCCACTGGAACGCAAGGCTCAGCTGGCCATCCTCGGCATGACCTCGCATAGAGAGCGTCTCCTTGCCATTTGGTGAATATTAGTCATCATCACACATAAGATGAATAGTCGGCAAGAGCTGGGTGATAGCAGGGCAAGAAATAATTGATTTTCTTTCTCTGCCAAGGTTTCTGGAGGCCCTTGTACTTTTATGAGGAGTGCCAGACTGGACAATTAACGTCCCATTCATCACGCTTTGCAGAATGCTTGTTGATAGGGTCGCAAAATGGAGCACTGAGCAAACACTGCTTCCTACTCCAAAGTTTAAAAGTCTGTGCCTGGTGGAATCTGCCTTTATACAAAGTTGGCCTGAAGTTTACGTGGAGCCCATGGTCAGAAAACAACCTGAGAAAAATCTGAAAGCAGATGCTTCTTGTGTGCAGTTTACTGATACCACATATGTTTGACACGTGGTTTAGGTTTTGTAAGAAGGAAGAAATCCCTTCCCAGTAAAGTATCTTGCTACACCAGATGGGAACAGCATGCTTCAGCAGCTAGACAGGAAGGGGGCAGTCATGTTGTTATCAGGAAGCAGATTTCTCAGAGCACAGGCTACCTGAAACTGGGCTTAGGGTTTGTGTGTCACTGTAAACTTGTTTGTGAAACTGAGGAATCAAACCGTTTTCCAGTTCAGGAGCCAAAATCAGTTCTTACCCAAGAAGTAGTAGCTACTGGATAGAACTGTGTGTTATATCCTGTGGTAATTCGGGTATTTAAGTTGCATGTTGTAATAAAATGAATATAAAAATACAAAAAGGTGTAACTTCAGTAAGAAAAATCTGAGATAGTTTAGTTCATTTGCGCATGTATATATACACAAAGAATGAGCAAAAGTGAACTAAAACAGCATAATCCTGTTTCTTTAATGCAACAGACACTGAACATTTAGGAAATAGTCATCTTTCTACTAGGATTTGCATTAAAAACTAGGCTCACCAAGTAAATTTGCATTCACCATCCATCCATTTATATATGAAGACGTTATTAAGCTGCTATGAAATGGAAATCTACCTATTGCAGGAAAATATATGAGGAGAAGACATGTAAGGAGAGAACAGTTTGTATGAGATGTAAGTACTTGGCAAGTTTTTCTACAACCCTAACCTAAAAATTGTCTTTAGTTTTTTTGGGGGGATAGGGAAAAGAGGTGGTTCAATGATCAGAACAGGTGTTATCTATTAAAGAAGAATATGTATAACTTCCAGTCTCTAAAGCATGTTGGTTATATTTCCTGGAATAACCATTCGGACCTGTGGTGCTGAGCGGCTCTCACTCGCAGACCCAGCTGATGCCTTCGGTTGGCATCTCAGTCTGTGAAGCAGAGGCTCTTCACTGAAGGATGATGAGAACCAGACTAAGGAGTGAACTGCAGCTGTAAGGTTTGCTGTATTCACTCAAGGTGTGTGAGGTTTGAGTTTAAAAAACATATATTTCATAATACCAAGTGGTGGCTTACCAATCTATCAAGCATTTTATTAGACTTTATAATAGTATTTCTTCTTAATTGTAGGAATTTTCCATAGCTAAAACTCAGTTTCACCATGGGAGTGAGAAAATACTGTTCTTAGTTACAAGTTACAAAGAGAAAACTTGGTTGGAAAAATATTTTCCAGTCGGATATTGCCAGCGCTTCATTTATGGTGAATCTCAAATCTCATCTTGAATGTGGGTTAAAGGCGGTTTGGCCAAATAATTTCCAAACTATTTTATTAATTCAAGCATTGGCAATAGCCTTTAACATTCTTTGGCATTATACCCTAACTTGCTCATCTGAAAGCGAGCAAAGCTGCATTTAGTTTGCCAGAAGATTTTTATTAGAAAAGGGTCATGAAAGTGGGTTTGCACTGATTATTCCCTGTCTCTTTTAGAAAATCTTCTTCTACCTTAAAGTCAAGTCATTGCTGTTTGAATTTGGGAGTGTCTATCTAACCATGTGATCATAGTTTCCCTAGGAGCCTTCCTGAAGTTTCTGTGCTGAGAGTATTAGAGCTTTCTTCATAACAACTGGATGCTGCTCTCAACCTCCCTCAGCAAATGTCGTAAGTGGTATAGTTTAACTGGTATAGTTGTTTAAGCAGAACCATTAAGCTTTCTCTTCCTGGTTGTGCCTGCCTCTGTCTGAGTCGTCATCTCTTTGGGAGTGCTCTTACATAAAAACCTGTTAAACAGTAATGGCACAGCCTAGAGCAACAAAAGCTTTGGTTGGTTTGTTTTTTGGCCCCAAAAGGAAATGACCACCATCACGTCATACCCTGTCCTGCATCAAACCCCACATAGTTCAAAGTGGGAGGAGCTGGGTACTTCCTGGGCACTTAGTGACATTGTTTGTCAGGAAGTTGAACCAAAGAAAGTATACCCCAAGTCCTATTATGAGGAAGTGTCCTTTTATAAGTTAATGAAAGAAAGAAACCCAAACTCCAGTTTGCTGCAAATCCAGCTGAAGCAGAACAATCCCCTCCTCCTCTGCCTGTCCCTCTTTTTAAGGATTTCTCAGAAAGTACCACAATCTCTTGGGCAAAGTAAGAGCATTCCAGTTCCGTGTTTCCAAAAATGTTCTGACACCGATGCTCTAGTTATGTTAGAATAAAAACCAGTCTACTTAGGGGAGTAGCAGTGTGGGGGAGTGACTGCTCTGTAAGCACAGGACTTGACATGCAGTGCACTCTGTTAGGTGTTTTTTCATCCCTCGAGTGGCTTGACTCAGTTCCCTCCCTGCCTGCATCTTTGAAATGCAGCTGACATCCTGACCAGCAGTATTCTGAAATCCTATGAGATATATAGGGCATCACATCCCATATGTTGTCCCTGTCTTCAGAATTGAAAGAATATCTTCTAAAGTGCCATATGAAGACAGTTTAAAATTTTAAGGATTTCTAGGCAACCACAGTAAATTTTAACTAATTCATGTGTCAAAATTTGGAGTGCAGTCGCATTTCAAAACCACAGAAATGTCCTTCTTTTAACTGTCGCCCTGCCCAGACCAAAACAAAAACTGTTTAATAACTTGTATCTCGACCCTTAACATATGTCAAGTCTTAACACAGGACTTTTGAATCATCAATAAACAAAGTTATACCACGAACTATCATGTGTCATAGGATTATTTGAAAATTGGCAGTTGTTAACAATCAAAAATGTACCACCATCTGACCTCAGCTGTATTATATAGGCGTCATTAGGATTTTTAAGTTGCTTTCAGAAGTACTCCTCTGTTTCTTCTGCTTCCTTTCTTTTTTTTGTGTTTTCCCACCACTTAAATTACTTTGGTAAAAACTACTCTTTATACTGTCAATCAAATAAGAGAGAAATGTCTGAAAGATAGGAAGAAGATAGTAGTGTGTTAGGAGGAAAATAAATATGGGTGACTGCTTTTTGTTTAATGAGTTTTATTTTTCCCAGGCACACCTGTGGAGTAGAGGTCCTCCTCCCCTTTTAACATGGATAGCGGTGGTAGCCTGCAGCAAGCTCTTCTCCTTTAGCACCGTCCTTACAAAAGGCCCTGTTATGGCCCACTAAAACCAAATTCCCGGGGAAGCTAGAACTGAATGGGGAGTGTGGCTGTGCCAGCCACACACAAGGGGGAAATGGAACCCTGAATGTTGTGAAATATCACCTCCTCTCTACTAGGGCTAGATATGTAATTCTGAGCCATTGGCTGCTGACTCCTAGGAGAAGGTGTTTTCACCTTTTCAGCTCCTTACCTTAACATCACATTAACTTTCACCTCTCAGCTGCTAAAGCAGTTACCCAAATCTGCAGACTGTAGTAGTGGGTCTGCTTTAGATGAATTAGAGTATTGCCATAGCATACACTCATGAAGAAATTGAAGTGCCACCATTGTACTTGGCCAAGCTGGAGACATGATTAGCTCTGATTTGTACCTGGATCTTAATTTATAAAGGTGGCTGAGTGATAACACAGAGAGGTCAGTGCCATTGAAAGAAAAGTTTTTTGCTATTCATGGTTCTGCTAGAAATGAGAGGAATGCCACACAGGGCCACAGGGGGCAGTGGCGGAGCTGGGAGCAGAAGCAGGAGCGAGGGGAGAGCATGGGGAAGAGCCTTCTGTGTTCCTGCGGGAAAGGCCGGGCAAGGCAGTGGGGGCAGCTTGGGTCTGGCTAGTGTGGGTAAGGTGGGTGGGCTCTGGGCTGTGGGGCAGTCTCTAGTTTCCTGGTACTGGCTTTGGGCGATCAGAACAGAGGATCATTGGCTCCTGGAGTGTCTGGGCCAGGCAGAGGGGCGGCTCCCTGTGGGCTGTGGGCCGGGTTCGTGTGAAAGGCAACTCCCTTGGAGGCCCTTTGCTATCTGGATGGATCAGCTAGCCAGGCGGGAGCGGTCTCTCCGGTTAGCAAGGCCCCTAAAATGTCAAAATATCATCAACATTTTTTTAAATGTGTAATACAGTTGGTCCTCTGATGTTTGACATCATTATTAAGGAAACTTGGGAGTGATGAAAATGGAGACTTTTAGAGGGTAGGGCATAAGTTACCTTAAAGAGCATAGGAAGCATTTTATTAGAGTAGAGAGGAGGAAGCCAGGTAGAGGTGTGAGGATTCCCTGAGGCCAGCCCATACTTCTGTTTCCCATTTAGATGGTATTAGCCAAGATCACAGATCTGGAATTTAGGGGGGAATCTTAAACAATATCTCAGTGGAGTTGTACACTGTGTTAGAAGTATGAGTCTGACAATAATATTTTGGTGTATTTCTTGGCTGAGAGGATGGCAGGTCCAGCAGTTATGCCATTGGTTATGCCAGAGTATGATCCTATAAGTGAGCAAAGCACATCTAAGATTAGTGGTATGTGTTTATAACCGAGAGAAGGGCGGGGTTATGTTTGGAAACAAGGAGCAGGAGGTGGTGGTAGCAAGCTGGAGTTGGCAACAAGTCTGGGAAGGCAATGGGGAGTGAAGGGTCCTCTCCCAGGGGCTTGACTGACAGAAGGTAGATGCTTCCTGAGGAAAGTGATGACCATTAATTTTTGGAATGGTGTACAGATAGGAGTCACCTGGGAGTGGAGGGGTTTGGGCAGGCAGCAATGAATATAGCAGGATTATGGGCTAAGTAGACAGCAAGCTCTGAAACATAATAGTATCCCTAATACTGAAGGAAGAAAAGCAAAAATGTCCTATGTTCAGTTTGTGCCTTAGGCAAGGCAGTGCGCAGACAGAAGCTTTAGTGTTGGTGTAAGTTGTCTCCAGTGGCCAGCTTGTGGTCTGGAGAGAAGGTGTCTGGGCAGCAGGCTTCTGGGCCTGGGTAATGTCTGGAATGTGGGACACTCAGGTTGATGGAGTCTCAGCACTTGCTATGTTCGGTTGAAGAGTCTGCAGACTGGTGAAAGCACCCCACCAGTAATAATAAGACGAGCAGTCAACAGAGTGGTGGGCAGAGTTTTGGTTTTTTATTTTTTGGTGGAAGTGTAGGTCCGGGTCCCACATTGGATGAGCAGCTGCCTGGTCTGTGGGAATGTCTAATTAATGGGTCCCAAGAGAATATGTGCGCTTAACCTAGCCTCCAGCTGTTATGGGATTGGGGCAAGACTGAAAATTTCTCAAGAGAGGGGCAGCATTATTAAAGGATCTAATATACAATGAGCTCATATACATGAAGGCAGGACATACATATCCCACTTTAAATGTAGGGAAGGGCAATGGGAAAATTTTTTCCAACTTTACTGAGGAATAATGGACAAATATAAGTGTATATATTTAAAGTGTCCAACACCATGATTTGATATACATATACATTGAGATAATTAACACATCCATCACCTCACATAGTTAATTGTGTGTGTGTGTGTGTGTGATGCAAATGCCTAAGATCTACTCTCAACAGTTTTCAAGTATATGATACTGCATGCTGTATAGTAGATCCTCAGAACTCACTCTTCTTATAACTGAAAGTTTGTACCCTTTGAGCTACATCTCCCCATATCCTCCTCCTCCAAGTCCCTGGATGCCACCATTGTATTCCTTATTTCTATGAAATCAGCTTTTTTTCCCCTTCATAAATCATTGCCTTTCTGTGTCTGGCTTATTTCACTTAGCATAATGCTCTCCAGGTTCATCCATGTTGTCACAAATGGCAAAATTTCCTTCTTTTTAAGGCAGAATAATATTCCACATTCCACACATGTATGTGTACACACACACACCAGATGTCATACATTGAAGGACACTTAAGTTGTTTCCATATCTTGGCTATTGTGAATAACATTGCAGTGAACATGAGGATGCTGTATTTCTTTGAAATACTGATTTCATTTATTTTCCTATATGGTTTGTAAATATTTTCTTCCATTCTGTAGGTTGCCTTTTCAATTTATTGATTTTTGCTGTGCAGAAGCACTTCATTTGTTTAGTTCAGCTTTTGTTGCCTATGTTTTTGGCATCTTATCCAAAAAATCATTGCCAGGACCAGTGTCGGGGAGCTTTTCTCTTAGTTTTCTTCTAGGAGTTTTATAGTTTTAGGCCTTACATATAAATCTTTAATCCATTTTGAGTTATTTTTACAGGCATAAGATAGGGATCCAGTTTCATCCTTTTGCATGTGGATATTCAGTTTTCCTAACATCATTTATTGAAGAGACTATCTTTTTACCCATCATATGTTCTTGGCACCCTTGTCAAAGACTAGTTGACCTTATATATGTGGGTTTATTTTTAGGTTATCTATTTTGTTCCACTGGTCTGTGGAACTGGTTCCACTGGTCTATGTGCCTTTTTATGTCAGTATGACACTATTTTGATGACTATAACTTTGTAATATAGTTTGAAATCAGGAAGTGGGACACCTCTGTCTTTCTCAGATTGCTTTGGCTCTTTGGGGTCTTGTATAGTTCCATATGAATTTAAGATAGTTTTTTTTTCTATTTGTGAAAAATGCCATTGGAATTTTGATAGGTACCACTGAAATTGTAGATCACTTTGAGTAATATAATATTTTAACACTATCAATTCTTCCAATCCAAGAACATGGGATAGCTTTCCATTTATTTATCTCTTCAATTTCTTTCATCAATTTGTTATTTCACTGTACATGTCTTTTACCTCCCTGGTTAAATTTATTCCAAAGTATTTTACTGTTTTTGGTGCAGTTGCAAATTGGATTGTTTTCTTAATTTCTCTTTCAGATAGTTTGCTGTTAGTGCAGAGAAATGCAATTGATTTTTGTATATTGATTTTGTGTCCTGAAACTTTACTGAATACGTGGATTAGTTTTAATAGTTTTTTGATGGAGTCTTTGGAGTTTTCTGTATATAAGATCTGCAAACAGAGATGATTTTACTTATTCCTTTCAAATTTGGTTGCCTTTTACTTCTTTTCCATGCTCAGTTGCAGTGGCTAGGCCTTCCAGTCCTGTCTTTAATAAAAGGGGTAAGAATGGGCATCCTTGTCTGTCCATGACCTTAGAGGAGAGGCTTTTAATTTTTCACCCCTGAATATGATGTTAGCTGTGGGTTTGTCATATGTGGCCTTTCTTATATCGAGGAAGATTCCTTCTACATTAATTTGTTGAGGATTTTTATCATGAAAAGATGTTGAATTTTGTCAAATGATTTTTCTGCATCCATTGAAATGATCATATGAATTCCATCCGTCATTCTGTTGATGTGGTATCATATTTATTTGCTTATGTTGAACCATCCATACATCCCAGGGGTAAACCCCACTTGGTTGTGATGTACGATCCCTTATTCCTTTAAGGTGTTCCTGAATTTGGTTTGCTAGTATTTTGTTGAGAATTTTGTCAGTCTGTGTTCATCAGGGATATTGGCCTGTAATTTTATTTTCCTGGAGTGTTCTCATCTGGCTTCAGTGTCAGGGTATTTTTTTAGCCAGCCTCATAAAATGAATTTGGAAATGTTCCTTCCTTTTCAATTTTTTGGAAGAGTTTGAAAAAGATTAGTATTAATTCTTTAAATGTTTAGTTAAATTTGCCAGTTAAATTACTGGGACCTATGTTTTTCTTGTTGGGAGATTTTGATTACTGATTGAATCTCCTTGCTTGTTATGATCTGTTCAGATTGACTATTACTTTGTGATTCACAGTTTTAGCAAGTTGTATGTTTCTTTGAATTTATC